AAAAAAGGAAAAAGATGTCCATCTAAGTAAACTATAAGTGAAAACTCATTGATTACCTCCGCCTTCCTGTCTCTGATCTGATTAATCATTTGCCATCGTGCTTCCCGAGTCACTTCTGTGTTGGGTTTCCCTCCGCCTGAATCCTGTAAGACTTTTCCAGAAGGGCGGCTGTGATGTTGAGACCAACATACTGTAAACAACCACAAGAAGCAAGAGCTAATGTTTTCAATACAGCTCAAGGACTAAAATAAACTCATTGGATTAGGGGCAGCCTGAGCGATTGTTTTGGTGAGCGCTTCCCAGGACCGCTGCCGAGCGCATCCCCGGAGGGCTACCTGGGGCGGGCGCCGGTGCCGCCGCACTCGCGGGCGACGGAGCGGGCGGGCGCCGAGCCCCGCCGGGAGGAGACCCCCCTCCCCGCACCGCCGCCTGCCCTGCCCGGGGCCGCATCCCTGCTGCGGGACAGACGTTACACCGCCGCACAGCAGAGCCCTGTCGAGGCGCCGAGTTGCCCCGCAGAGCCAGGGATGCGCTTTCGGAGGGGTGCGGATAGGCGCGGGGAGAAGGCGCGGGGGAACCGCAGGCCCAGGAGCCCCGCCGAGGCCCGGCTTCATCCCCAGCCCCCGGCCGTCGAGGGGTGCCCGGGGCTGCGGGTACCGCCGGCGGGGCTCGGCGCTGCGCCTACGGCTCTGCAGAGCGGCTCGGGGCTCCCCAGTCCGGTTATGTCGGCCTGGCCATCGCTCGCAACAGTGCCGAGCTTTTTAGTTTTTTGGTTTTTTTCACCGTCTTCTACTGCCCCAAAGCACCACGCCGGCTGTCCCTGCCCGCCTGCGCCGAGCCCGCTCCCTGCGATTGAGGGTGGCCGGGTTCTCCTGCGAGCGGGCAGGACCGGGTTCCGCAGGGCGGGCTGAGCCCCCGCGGGGGAGACGGAGGTCCCCCCGGTCCCTGCCCGCCGTCCGCCCCGTCGAGCCTCCCTCCGGCAGCGCAGGGCCCGCGGCTCGGCCCGGGAGGCGGCGGGAGGGCCAGGCCG